ACTTCGCTGCTTTCGACTTCCTATCACACTCTCCTAGCTTTATTTCAGTCCTTGTAGCTACATGCCCATTACTCGATAGCCTGTGAGGACGAGATGACAGGAACGCCTTACCTAAGTTTCGCCTATCTTTATGCGGTGGGAAAGAGAACATAGCTGTGCTCACCCCCTCCGAGGGGGCTTAGACGGCGGCGCGGCTGCAGCGTGGAATGCTGAGTCCGTGTACTTTGTTCCGAATCGTGCTCCCCAAGAGCATCACGCTGACCATGACACTGTGCTGACCACTGAGCCTGTCGTGACGGGAGACTGTGATGACTCATGACCCACGCGACCAGGACCTCGTGGTGGCCTTGTGACCTGCTGACCAGCGTATCTGTTCCGCTCTGTTCGCGCGGCGCGTGTCCCGGCGGCTGAGCCTGCGCCAGCCAATGGGCGTCGTGCGTCGGTCCCTGGAGGCGGTGACGTCAGACGCCGTCTTACGACATGCGCAGTGGATCTCGGTAAGCCGCGTGGTATTACGGATCGCGCGCCCGGATCTCGTCTGGTTCTGCTGCAGCGAAATCGATTTTAACTCCAAATACAGCGCTTGGGTGCTTTGTTCGATTTGCACCGCGCACAGCATGACGCAGTATTGAGCGGGTTTCGTTTCCAATCCAAGGAGATACGACTCGGTTCGCAAACCGATTTCAAGGAGGTAGGATGGGGATGCAGTGGCATCAGTTTACGCGATGGACGGGGATGCAGCGACGTCATGTTAGGCAATGAGCCGTTCAAGGTGACTTACAAGCCTGCACAGGACATATATTTTAAGACGGTGACGTTCGCGCGGAAGAGCGTGTTAGCACGGGGCACCATCACAAAAACCATGTGACGACAGTACTATAGAGAAGCAAAACATTGCATACCTGACATTCTAATCGGGAAAACTCCTCCCTTGGTATCCCAGGGTTCCTCGAATTATGGACAGTAATGGATCGATTACTGCAGGTGCTGCGCGGGGGAGAGTTGTCAGTCAGAGTAAGACGTTTGTTGTTCTCGCAACAATCGCACGTACAGAATTGCGCGCCCTCACGCATGGCTGGGCTTTTGCATTTTTTTGTGAGGGCCTTGTCCCTATTCGTAGGTCTGGCTTTGCATCCGCAGCACCAGTAATAAATCACCAAGAGTTCCTAAGAACTCTTAAGTCGGCACAAAGCTCCAGACTCCGACGGACTGTAGCCATGGTCGTTCTTAAACAAATTTACTAGGCGCTGCTTGTGCCATCACGTGATTCCGAGTTCAGCGGCCTGAGAATTGATCCGGACGTCGCGTGCATCCCTTCGCCCCCTCGCTCCCCCCCTCCCCCAATCACCCCCATTCCGGTTCGGTTGCGGTCCGCCCTGGCCGTCAGTGACGACACACCTCATTCTGCCCTGTCACCGATGACGTCACACATCCCGGACAGCTCACTGATGACCTCATACAAACGCTAGAGCTCGGGCCAGCCCGCGCCTCTGCCGTGCAGCGAGCTTCTGGGAGATGACGTCATCTGACTGTGAAGTGCAGGGTGCAGTCCGAGAGGCGGGCTCTCAAGTGGCGGAAAGAAGCCTCTCCCCCCCCCCCCCCCCCCCCCCCCGGTGTGAAGTGCCGGCCGGCCGGCGGTGAGACGGTCGAGGGTTGAAGCGTCTGCGACGTCCGATAGTGGTCTCAAGGGGACAGTTCGACATGTCTCGTCTCGAGGCCTCGCCGCCGGTTCGTGAAGTGCGGCCGGCGGCCGGTGCTGACCAAGGGCTAGCCGGGCCCGTATCGGTGTCGGTGGCGGGCCGGGTCACTGGGGTCACCGCCACTGCGGTGGCCCGAGTGACAGGCGCGGGCGGACGCCAGACACAGCGCTGGCTGAACGCGAACAGACATCGGATATGGCCGTAGGCTCGACATTGTACAGTTGTAAGCCGGGGGGGGGGGGGGGGGGGGCACGTTGCTTGCTAGGAGCTCTACCACTGCACGCGGCGGACATCTGTCGAACATGGCCAGCGGTGCGGACCGGTGTGAGGGTGAAATGAATGAGAAACTTTGCTTTGACAAAGACGGTCGTGGTGGTAATTACCGTCGCTGGCGTGTGGATGCGTCGGTGTGGATGCTTCGTTTTCAAGTCCACGCATACTTTACTTCCGCCCTGCTGGTTGGACTCCATACCGGGCACATGCATGTAATGACGGCATCTGCTGTAGGGAGGAATTCCATTCGTTTTTTTTTTCTCTGTCACGGCTCAAACGTCCCAGTTCGTCATCATTGTCAAACCAAGAATTTTTTTGTGCGGTACGACTCATTCAGGGCCGGTCTTTGTCGGACGCCATCTTTGAAGCCGCAGCTGATGAGGAAGGCTGATGCACATCTGAATGTCATCGAGCTGCGTAGCCGAGGGAGTTGATTGGCAGTTGAGGGGCTGGATCCGAGCTATTATCATCAATGTTTCCTTTCACTCCATGCCGAACCGCGCTAACGGTTCCAAAGCGCTGCGAGGCCGGCCCGGTCCTCTGACAGCGGTGCATCCGCACCCCGTGGCAGGCAAGGATTGGCGCCCTCGTCATATTGCTCGGGGCGATTTGTCTGGGATCACCGACACCATTTACGAATCCAGAGGACACCATTTATGGATATAAGGCCTTGATTGGCCCTTTTTGTTATTCGTTCATCTGGATAGCGTTCCGCTAACGAGCAGCCTGGATCATTACGAACAACGCACAAACACAACATCTTCAGATTTCTTTCTTCTCATGTTCAAGGTTTCCCAGTAAAAAACAGGCAAACAGCATGGCTTTACCGGACAGCACATTGAACAAAGAATGGCCAGGTGCCCTAAAAAAAAAAATACAGCGACGCATCTGACGGTCTGCCCAGCCGCAGCTGGATGACAGCAGTCCTGGCCCCAGCTGCCACAAGCGCTCTGCACGGACGTGACCGCCGGGGTTCCACGCTGGGACCACCGGCGGCGATAACACCGCGCCGCTCTCCAGCAGAACCACCGACGTCCGCGAGCCGAGAGACTTGCTCGGGGGCAAAGCCCCAGATCCAGACAAGAGATGAATATTCGTTGGCATGTCTCCATGCAAACCGTGCACTAAGCTCGCATTGTTGAATGAAACGCCTGGTGTTGTGACGTCGCACCGTCGCCCAGTTTAAGCATGCGTGGAAGGTTACATTATATTTGTCCCCGATGTGATCGTGTTATTTGATAATTGGGCGTTGTACACATGTGACCTCGTCACATGCCTGCAATAACGGCATGATCACAAATCGAACTGGTCACGCCCTCTCGCAACGGGGCTTGACTCACCGCCAGCTGGCCGCGTGGTAGCAAAACTGCGATAGATCACATGCGTGGGCATATTGCGGTTTAGCATTGACAGGAGAAAATAAGTACAACGTCATAAACTCATTCTTGCATCTTTTCGGGATACCCTATTTCGCGCGGCGACCACCTGCAGGCAAGAAACGTCCCGCAGCACCCATGCGCGAGTGGACTATTAGATATATCGGTTGGAAAGCGACGCAGTTAGTCCCGATCCACTCACAGCCATGGTGCCCAACCAGCAGCAGTTTCTCGCTCCCCAGACCACGACGTAACCTTCTGCGTGGAAGGCCGCCAGGATACACGACAGCGTCGTCGTTTGGACTGCACGCGTCCCGGACAACTCTTTTAGGTCGAGCAAGGCTTGGAGCGCTCGAATCGTTTGAAAACCGTGGCATTCAGCGAAGTGATGTCCCGCGCGCTGACCAGCCGTGATGGCTTTCCCGAAGCCTGTTTGAAGTGAGCGTGAGTGAGGTGTGGGCAGGCTGTTGAAAATGCCAACCGTGACCGTGCCATTCTACTTTGACGGGCACCAGGGTGTTGTGTTCTGCTGACAGATTCGGAATGCGTGCACTTTTTGTCGAAATGACAGCTCTGTTCTCTGACTGTTTTGGACTCGCTTCACTACTGGCAAGTGCATGCATGTACACGTAAATGTACACGTTTGGTGCGTTGACAAGTGCGTGTGCATGTTTTGTGAGTTGTTGAAAAATGGAAGAAAAGCAAACAGCAACACAGCCAGACAAAGGTTGATGGCGAGAAGCGTTTGGGTGTGTCATTGCCAATCATTTTAAGGCAACTGCTGGACGACTTATGATGCGTACATCACACTCAAGTAAATCGTTGTTGCACTCTGCTGTAGCAGTTGTAACAATTTTCGTAGGGCATTGCGATATTATGCGCGATATGTCATCTGTGTCGAAAGCGAAAATGCTAGTGGGTCTTATTGCGATGCGAGCATATGGACCGGATATACCTCAATTTCGCCTCGTATTTCGATCTCGAATTGATCAACGACGTGGTCTATTTGGTGAAATCAATAATTTACCCGGCCGTTAAGCGCACCCCGTGGGCTTAACCAACACGGTCAGTTAAAGGTTTGCGGTGCGAGGTATGGCAACGTGGTGCGTGACAAGGCGCAGAGGGCCATCGTGAGTCGCAGGGGGCGACATGATGCCCGCCGCTGGTGTAAAACAGGAATTTTAATGGCCTCGCAAAGCTGCTGCATGCGGTTCATGAGCCCTCATGTAACATCCATAAGCTGAACGCGACGATAGAAATGGTGTTTCTTGGGTTGGCCTAAGCTGAAAAATCGAATCTGTCGCGTGTTGACGCGCCAGTCAGGCGTCATAGATCAGCGCGAGACGTCACGAAGACTTGCCCTGACGTGTCTGCAGACCGCCTGAGTGCCTTCTTGGCTGTGAGCCTTCCTGGCGTGGCTGGGACCAGCCTCGCACGGCTGCCTGCTCGTAGCCGTGGCTCTCGCGGCGTGGTGTGGACTCGGGGTCTGCTTGGAAGCTGGACGCGACCCACGTGTCCACAGGACGCTTGGCTGCGTGTCTTGACAGCGAACGGTTCATGAATGCGGGAGGCCTCGTGATCCGAACTGACAACGCAGTGGCTGCAGACCGGTGTGACCCGACCTGACCCGGCGCCCTGCCTCTGTCCCCAGACCGCCTGGACGCGTTTCTGGCGGCTGAAGACTCAGCGAGTCGCGTGGTGATCTGGTTCTTGCTCACGGCGGTCTTCTCTGTGTCGGCGGCTCTCTTCCTGGCCTGGTTCATCCCGACTGCCACAGGTGAGAGGCGGGCGTGGTCGCGGATGGAAGCGGAGGGCATTCAAACAGGGCTCACACTCGGGTCAGGGCAGTGAAAGGGCACAGCGAGAGCGATGGATCGAGCGGGCCTCGTACCGGTGACAGGCAGAGACCAATTGGCCCTGCATCCAGTCTCGACTCTGTGGAAGCGCTCGGCGTGGTTGGAACTGGTCCGTTACCAGGCTGCCTGTGTTGTTGGTGGCCGACCAGCGTGTTTATTGATTCTCGCCGTTTATCAGGCAGTCGGCCACACAACCACCATCGCGACGGGCGTGCTGCGCAGTCCGTAAGCCTTGCTCGGCCGTCTGACACCGCAAGGCCGGCCCGCTATTGCATATTGCGTTCGTCCCGTGCAAGCGCTCCGATAGTATCTTGACAGCACCCCAGCTGGCTCGTGTATGCGGCCTGTTCGGCTCGCGTGACACGTGTGCGGACCGCGGGCAGCCCGACACCACAGCGCAGGCACCGCCCCCCCCCCCCCTCTCCCCTCTCCCCCCGCCCGTCACGTGAGGCTCCAGCGGGGCTGCACGCCGCCACGTGGTGCGCTGCGTGCACGGCGTGACAGTCCGCGCCGGGCCGGCGCTCGGCAGGCGGGCCGGTCAGAGGAGCCGGCGATGACCCGGTGCACGGTGCTGTTGTATCGTGTCGGTCTGTCCGGAGACGACCCCGCCCGCTGTCGTCAGCGCCGCTGCAGAGTGGCCTGACACTGAGGCGTGCAGAAGGAGCGAGCCAGCTCGCTGAGGGAAGGGTCGGGCAAGGTCGGCTGGGGTCGAGGGGAGTCTGTTGGGATCGAGTGTAGTCTGTTGGGCTCAGGCGGGGTCTATTACCGCGTCCTCACTGGCGAGCTGCCAGGTCGGGATTGCTCGGCGGTCCCGACCAGAGCGTGGCGGTCACCTTGGCGACGATGGCTCACATGAACCCGCCTCGTTGAGCTCGTTCGCTCCGCTTTGCCACATCAAGCTTAGCCATGTGTTGCAACAACCGAATGACCGGCGAAGCGCGGAAAGTGACCCTGAGAAGACCCATCAATTTCGTCGACTTCCGTTCGGGTTACCAACCGCGAAGCTGCGTGGTCAGAGTCGCTCCCGCTGGTCGTGATTTAAAAACCCGCACGCCACGTCTGCGTGCGCGTTCTCCGCGGCGCCGCCACAACGCCGTCCCCGGGAGTGGCCACCTGCCTGGCAATTCGTCACGCCTGCCGAGCGCCCGGCAGCTTGCGAGCCCCCTGGGGCGTTTTAGACCGTGGCGCACGTTCAGCGCTCGCGGGCCGGCCTGACGGAGCGAGCCGCTCTCGTCGTGAGCTGTAGCGCTGCAGCACGGCCCTGGACCGGCACTTCCGGTTCGAGCACGCCGCGGCTGCGGGGCCCGGCGACCGGACGTTCACCCCAGACCGTTTGGCGCGCCGGCCGCGGCGCGAGGCCGCGCTGACGATCTCCGGTCGGCAGCGGATCGGCGGAGATCTCCGGTCGGCAGTGGTCGGTGGAGATCTCCGGTCGGCAGCGATCGACGGAGATCTCCGGTCGGCAGTGGTCGGTGGAGATCTCCGGTCGGCAGTGGATCGGTGGATATCTCCGGTTGACAGCGATCGGTGGAGATCTCCGGTCGGCAGCGATCAGCGGAGATCTCCGGTCGGCAAGTGGTCGGTGGAGCATCTCCGGTCGGCAGTGGTCGGTGGAGATCTCCGGTTGACAGCGATCGGTGGAGATCTCCGGTCGGCAGTGGTCGGTGGGGATCTCCGGTCGGCAGCGGTCGGTGGAGATCTCCGGTCGACAGCGATCTGTGGAGATCTCCGGTCTGCAGTGGTCGGTGGAGATCTCCAGTCGGACAGCGATCGGCGGAGATCTCCGGTCGACAGCGATCGGCGGAGATCTCCGGTCGGACAGCGATCTGGCGGAGACCTCCGGTCGACAGCGATCGGTGGAGATCTCCGGTCTGCAGTGGTCGGTGGACGTGGGCTCGCAGAGGTCGACCTCCGAAGTCGACGATCGGCGGTTGTTGTTTGACGCTATGTTTGCTATCAGACCCGGTCAGGCTCTGCGGACCGTTTGGCGTGCGTGACTGGGTCATGCGTGACCCACTCTGGCGGATAATTGGCCGCGAGGTCTGTTGACGCTGGCACTGTGCCAAGCGGTGGCCGGGTACGCAATACCAAGCGTGTGTGGCCGGCTGTGAGATATCATAAGCTATCTCATAAGCTATCAGGGATAGCTTATGATATCTGTGAGATATCATAAGCTATCCCTGGCTCCGATGAACATGTAGCACCCTGATGATCTGAAAAACTGGAAACATCTGATAAGTTTTGAGGGATGTTGTTGGTGAAACGGTGTGGCTGGAGCAATACTGGATTGGAGATAAAATAGGCTCATCCATTATCCACTATCATGACCAGTGCAAAAATGGACACAATGGTGTAGTCGTACGACGCAAAATTTAAACGCAATCGGTGGATCCCATCCTTCCTTCAGTGGCGTTTTCCCACGGCCGTGATAGCACCGGATGTGAGTAATGATCCGCGCTTGTGAGTACCAGCCTCGGCTGTGTGTTAAGCTCGCTCGCGTGCCCACCAGGGTCGGGATTTCCCGAGCTGAAGGCCTACCTGCAGGGCGTCAAGATGGAGAACACATTCTCACCGGTGACCTGCATCGGCAAGCTGGTGTTCCTTCCCATAATGCTCTGCACGGCGCTGCCTCTGGGCAAGGAGGTAACCAACACCTCTCACCCCACTCACGCGCGCCAGCCACAGGGGTTCGACCCAGCCTCCGGGGAAAGCGCTCAGGCTCGAGAGTGTGGTAGGGAATGTGACGTTTGAAAAATACTTATGAATTATCATGTCTATGAATTAATTATGAATTATCATTGTCATTATGCTACATTAGCTGCGTTAGACATGCGTGTTTGCACGTGCCGTGCAATGCGGTATAACTCGGTCCATTTTTATCGTGTCTGTCTGTTACCGTTGCGTAATGCGGTTCGAAAGCACTGTTAAGTGAAGACTGCCGAGCCGCTGCACAGTGTGATCTATGACTGACTGTTGAGCGAGCACCACGATGGTGAGTCGACGAGTGAGCCGACGAGAGGTGAGTCGACGCACTCGACTCCCCCGTCCGTCCCCTGGTTCTGTCCTTTCTCTCATCTCCGGCCGCGGGAGATGAACGCCCACCGCCGCGCGCCTGACACCGCCCCCCCCCCCCCCCGTCAGGGTCCGGTGACCCACGTGGCCGCCATCTTCGCCCTGTTCATCACCAAGGTGTTCAAGGACATCTCGTTGGAGGAGCTAGAGCGGCACACGGGCAACGAGCTGGTGGCGGCCGCCTGTACCATGGGCGCCGCTGTCTGCTACGGCGCGCCGGTTGGAGGTCAGTGCGCATGCGCACAGCGCGTGGTGTGGAACGGGAATGGCTGGGTGGAGTTCCAAGTGTGTGTGTGGGGGGGGGGGGGGGGAGGGTGCGGGGCGGTGAGGCCAGCGTCTACGAATTGTGGCAGTGAGGTGCGTCTATAAGTCGCTTGCTGTACTTCGGTGTCACCCACTGATGTAAGTTCAATTCAGTTTGTGAGACGATAGCTCGGATTGCCGGGCTTTCCACAGTTCACAGATTACGTCATGGTCGTTGCGGTCGCCGACTCACAGCTTGCACTGTGGTATCTGCTTTCGTCACGTTTGCCTCTCTCTGGCTGCACCTCGGCAGTTTGTCTTTGTGGTCACCTCGTTGACCCCGGAACAGAGCGAGGATACTCGAGACTGGACAGCAAACCCATGAGCCAACGCCGATGCGGGGTCCACGTCTGTGTCAACTACCACCTCCCCATTCACACCCAAATCAGCTACCCTCCCCCGCTTTCCCCATTCACACCCAAATCAGGTTCCGTCCAACCCCACCCCCACCCCATTCACACCCAATTCCGCTGCACCCCCTCCCCCTCAGTTCATACCCAGATCCGCTACAGCTCGACCCCGCGTTTCCCTATGAGGACAGCCTCCAACAGCGCCTGATTCCCCCTCT